AATTCCGATATCTCTATTTCGAATTAAATATATAAAAATTATCAAGTTCATGATTCTTAAGTGGAACATGCTTCAAAGATTTTATACTTTCTCTTGAAACTTATAGAACCTAGATTGTGTTATTCTATGATCTCGTCTAAAGTTCCCTTTCTGGAGTGTCGAAACTTAAACAATTAGTGGCCAATTAATTAAAAACATGGAGAATAAACAATACAAATAAACTTAATTAGAAATCTCAAAGAAATAACTATAATAAAATCAGTGTTCTAAAATGCGTAATGCGTTGCGATGCATCGAGGTCGAGAATCAAGAATCACAAATTTAGGCGTGTCAATGCGAATTTTTTAAGGCATTAAATATATTTTATATAAAAAAAAAATTTTGTTCTAAAATGCACGGACAATGCGCGCCTAGGCGCGCATAATGCGGGACAATGCGTGACAATGCGCGCCTAGGCGCGCCTATGCGCCCGCATTTTCGAACAAAAAATCCAAAAACGCATTTTTCGCGCATTCCTCGAATTCAACGCGTTTTTCCCACGAGTCGCGCCTAGGCGACGCATTTGCGCGCCTTTTAGAACACTGAATAAAATCAAAACATGGTTTAAAGTGTCATTACATGCCCTAGATATGGAATTTAGTTCATAATGCATGAAAGAGAAACTATCAATTTCATAATCAAAAACATATAGAAACGAAAAGAGAAAAAAACTGATTTTGAAGTTGATTCAGTCTTCTTCTTGATGTTCTTCTTGATCTCGTAATTGATTTATTTCTCTTGCATCGATGAATTGTCATTAGAATTAGTTTTTAGGGTTGTATTTATAGTATTTTGAAGCTTTAGAAGAGTTGGGGTTGGATAGGCATTGAAAGAAAAAAGTCTAAAAGAATTAAAACACCTCGTGCCCCCGTGGGGCCCGCGGTGCCTCTGTGTTGAGATTTCTCTTTTCTCCCGATAGTAAGCGCTGCGGCACCCAGTTTGTGACGCCTGGGCGCCAATGCTGTGTTGGGGGCGCCACCCCCATTTTCGGGTGAAAAATAGTATTGCGCATCTTTCAGCATTTTTATCATAATTTGTTCTCTCGATATCCGATTAAGACGATTCAAAGTACATTTGAAAGATAACTCAAAGAGCTACAACTTTACTTTGGATAGCATTTTTCAATTCGAATGTTTACTATATCAAAAATGGTTCTCAATCTCTGAATCAAGATCTGGAACATACTTGTGTGGTTGAAAATTGATTTGTGATGATATTTTGACCATATTTCACTCATTTTCTATTTCTAATTGCATCCGATTGACTCCTAGCAATCTTCAATTATTATTTTATGGTCTGAATCAACTACTAAAAATTTGCAATTGAGTTCTCAAAATTTAGATTTCATCATTTTTCGTCGTTATTCACTTCTTTCTTTTAATTTAGCATCTAATTATCAAGTTTCACCAAATCAACGTCAACACCAACTTCTCATTAATTAATTCCAACATCATTCTTTTCTCTATGCTTTGCACTTTTCACATCATTTCACTAATCTATAAAATAATACGAAAACACAAATGAAAAACATTCTAAAACTCTGAGAATCGAACGAAATGTGAAGATTAAGTAGCATTAATATGATAAGTGAAACACACTCATCAATTTGATTATCAGAACATATTGGAATATTTGGTCAAAGTTGATACAAAATCAACTTTTCTAAATTTTACTTAACCAAATTTAAACAAAATTCCAAAAAAATAACCAAACACGTTCTCAAATATACACAATTATAGATATTCCCGTGTTAAATACATAAGCACTTGTAAACAATAAAATAATAATAACCAAACGGGGGTTAAAGTGATTTCATCTAAATCCAAAGTAGGAAAAGGTACATCTCTTTAAATAATAAGAATGAATTTTTATATATATTAAAATAATAGTTTCGGAATACTATAGAAAGTAAAATGAGAAATATATATTTACCTTTGGCTAAGGGTGTCAAACGTGCCAATGGCTCATCAGCTCGGCTTGTCAAAGCTTGGCTCGCAAGCTATTTGGACTCGCCCTTAGACGGCCTGAGTACGAGCTAAGCGGGCTGGCTGCTAGGCTAGTCGAATATGCTCGCCTAGCTTCGGATGCGAGACCACAAGCTAGGCTTGTGGAAGCTCAATTATAAGTGTATTTTTGCACACTTATTTAATACTTAAATATATTTATTATTGATAAAAAGGAGCAGTTTTCTAGTCACTATTATGTAATTATTGCTTTTATAGGTAAAAATCACCCAAATGAAAGAAAAAAAGACAAACTGAGGAAAAAAAGGCTAAAAGTGTACAACAATTGTGAAGTTGGGGACCAAGTTGCACAAGTGCCGAAAGTTGGAGGTTATTGGGATGTAATTTATGGAGGGCAATATTGAAATGAAAATCAAAATCCAAGGATCAAATTGTATAACATCATAGTTGAGGGACTAACTATACAAATTATTCTGAGGACCTCCTGTGCAATTTGTGATTTCACTAAAAGTGCGCACGCGCACACGCGCACACTTTACTTCTGGAATGGTGCGCACCTGCGCACCTGTGCATTGAAAATTACCGAAAATCAGAAATTTTAAGGGCATTTTAGGCTTTTGTTTGTGCTCGATTTTGGGAGTATTTAAGGACCAAATCTCATGACTCAAACCCTAGAGTTTTTAGAGTTTTTCTCTCTTGCTAGTCTTTTCTTTTTATTTCTTTTATTTCTTTCTTCTTTCATTTTCTCTTCGTTTTTTTTTCTTTTCAATTTTGCTTGGTATTTTGGAGATTAAATCAAAGAGCACAAGGAGTTTCAATTAATGATTTGGCAAAGATTTGGGAGAAAATCAATTTCAAGCTTCAAATAGGATTTTTTCTATACCTTTGATTTTTCTCATTTATTTTGCCATTTTTGTAATGAATGTTGTGCATATTCTCATTTGTTATCAAATGTATAAAATGGACTAATTAATCATGTTGTGATTTGTGAAATTAGTTTAACAAAGTCTTGATTAATTTCTATATTTGCTATTTGATATTAAGTTGCTTATTCTCATGTGTTTTTATTATTGTATTTCATGCATTTTCATTTATGTGGCCAATGAATGAATGCGTTTAGTGATTTCTGCATCATTCGAGAGATGAATGTACATTTTAGACCAAATAGTAGAAACCCTAGGTTTGTGTAATGTGTAATGGATAGAGATATACCATTAGCCCTAGGTGACCAAATAAGCTATTTTCACAATAATTGAATGCGATTGTTTGGTTGTAATCGACGTAGAGATATAGTAGGTTAAACCAATCAATTAGGGTTAATTTCACTCGAGAGAAGTAATTAACTAAAATTGGAAGATCGAGTCTAACATCGTAATTAAGTAATTCTTTAATCGGCTTATACTGCTGCTATCGATTTCAAACGGAACGCTGCCATCTTAACCATCTTGTCCTCCGACACGTCCATAATTTTGAAAATTCATTCAACCTCCATCAACCAATCCAAAAGTACTCGATTTTCAAGTTACCAAAGAACGGGAGAATATCTACTTTAATACGATAATCATCAAAGGTACTTCGATTTTGATGATTACGCGGCAACGCTTCAGACTCCTCCCATGACTTCGATTCACTTTCTTCTACTGCACGTCTCATATTATTTCTTCCCCGAACCACAGGTTCAACGATCTGTTCATTGTTATTTGTATGTTGTTCATTCTGTCTATTGTTTCCAATGCCCCGTAGAAACAGTTGACGAATCTCTTGGATCTGAGTGGTAAAATTGTCAGCAGTCGGTTCGTTGCATCCAAATCTACCCTCGAAACTGGTACGTCATCCATACTTATGAATCAAAGATATATAGACTGGAAAGCCAACTCTGATATCACTTGACGCAGCGCGAAACAATGAATTCAAGCAAAAATCCAAAAGAGCGTGAAATTTTGGAATCTACTAAATTATAAGAAATTAAACTCACGAATTTTATTAATGAAAGATAATTAAAAAAAACAATAGGATAACCCTTTGTTTATAAGGGTTTTAATGAAAACCTAATTTAAAAGGACTAAAATTAATGAAAACCTAGTTTAAACAAATTAAAATTAAAAAAGAATTCGAAATAAACTAAATGATAAAAATAGCGCTAAACTTTATTTTCGAGTCCTAAACGAACTTGGATTTCATGGCATAGTGATGAGTATTACTCGTATCGTCGTTATCTTTTCGAAATGCTATTATGAGATCAAATCGAAATTCGGATGTTCTCTTTGCACTATTACTTTTTTTCCATCTTGATCCAATTTTTCAACAATATGTTCTATATTCAAAAGGGGACAGGAAGCCCCATCTCAAGGGATGCGGGGGACAAAGTTTCAGACCAAAATTTCATTAAAAATAATTCAAAATTTTTTTATTCTTATAAATTTCAGTACCAATAAATAAAAACCAATCCAAACCAACTAACTCAACCCAAA